TGCTTGCAGATTATAGAATTATAAAGTAACCCACCGTGCTTGCAGATTATAGAATTATAAAGTAACCTACCGTGCTTGCAGATTATAGAATTATAAAGTAACCTACCGTGCTTGCAGATTATAGAATTATAAAGTAACCCACCGTGCTTGTAGGTTCCCACCGTGCTTGTAGATTATGAAAGGAGTGAATTTGAGGGACATCCCCCTCCCTTTAAAAATTAAGTGTACAAAAAGAGAAAGAGCAGACACCTCCCTGCGGCGCCACTTGATCACTCAAAATGAAGAATATAACAAGAAATTTAAATCTTGGTTGCATATTCCCCTTTCCCCCACTAGCTAGTTATGGTTTTGACATAAATTTCCCAATTCCCTTTATAATTAAGCCCCTTAAACTATGTGTAACACATTATTTAATGGAATGTAAAAGTGCCAGGTATCATCAATAAGTGTCCACAAAAATTGCTTTTTAAAGTTTATTTTTCTAAATACTATTGTAAAGATCCAACAATAAAACGTTTAAAAATTAAATAATTGGTTTGATAAAGGAAAAAACTAAAAAGATGAGAATTCGATAAAAATGTTATCAAATAATAAAAGATGTTCAATAAATAGTTAACATATTAATCAAATACTGGATATTAGAGATATATTAATATATATTTTGTTAAAACTGAAAACTTGATAATCTGAAACATTGTATATTAATAAATATGAAAAACTGAGACGTCTTTGGTTAATTGCGTTCGGCTTTTTTCATGTTCAAAAAAATTTATTTCGTTCGTTCTCAAAATTATCGTTTATTTTCCATCTGTTTAGTCAAAGTGAATAAATACTAAAGTGGACCAAACTCATAGTTGGATGACGACATTTTATGTCCCAAGTATTTAGAAATATGTATATAACTTTACTTTCCAAATGAAATCTTTTCATGAAATTATTTCCAAACCAAATAAAACCTTATGGCCCAACCTGTCGTCGTTTCCTTAGTCTGTTCCACTTTAGTATTTATTCACTTTGCTGTTTAGTGCGTTTTCTTACTTAAAGATTGTTTAATAAACTCATTCGTTCAATAAAAGCGTTCGTTTTGCAAATAAAACGATAGTTTTTAATATAGTTAAACTCTAAATGAGCCATACATCGAAAAAATTTATGAAATCTCGTGTTGACAATTTTTCAATGGGTTTTATACTGTTTTACGTAAACCTCAGTTTTTGCGAAAATAAATAAATAGCCATGAATTTACGGAAACAGTTTTAAATAAAACTAAATATCTGCAACACTACAGTATCAGAAAGTAAAGAATACGACATTTGATGAATTCTTTCGATGTATGGCTTATTTAGGGTTTAACTGAAGTTTGTTCAAAAAAAACATTCGGTCATTGAAAACTTTTTTGAGTTTTTTTTTGAGATCTCGTTTGCTCAGTAAAAACAATCGTTTTTTCAAGTTCGTTAGAATGATTTTTAATCGTTTGTTTTTCTTTCTTTTGTTTTAAAACAAATGGTTTTTTTCAAGTTCTCTGAAGGATCCATGAGTTATTCGTCCATCGTTCGTTTTTTTCCTGAACGCCACATCGTTTATCACAAATTTCGTTCGTTTACTAAAACAATACACAACTCTAAATCTGCCGTATAGTTATATATTTTAATACAATGGTAAGCGATTATATCAATAAAATGAAGACGATTTTTGCTTTCAATTTTGATTTAAATTAACATGGATTAAACAAACTTAGAAGTCAAGAGAAGCTTTCAAATAAAAAAGCTTCTCTTTGATTACTTTTAAACTTGTAATTTGTTAAAAATCAAAATTTAAATAAAAAGGCAGCTTCATATTGATATAATCGCCTACCACTGTACATAAAGCCATAACAGGGCTAGCAAAAAATGTACCTTCAGCCATAGCTGGCCAAACGGCTAAACCGAATTGGCTAAAACTTGTAGAGGAAACTCGTGGGTACCTCGGGGGTAAAAAGGCTAAAATAAATTAAATATTTTTCTTAAAAAAACTTTTTTTTATGTTCGAGTTTTCCTGCATGCTAATTTAGTCCAATTTGGCATGGCCGACTCATCAAAGAAACAAAAATACCGCAAACTTTATTGTCAAAGGTGCTTTGGGAGGGGGGGGGGGTTCCGACGACCTACCCCTTCCCCTACAGTCACCCAGCCTATTAAGGTTTTTAATCTAAAAATTTTCATTTGATCTAATATTTCAGGAGAAAGCGACTGAAGTGTTTAAGTCCCTGGAGGGTATAGTAAAACCCCTGTATGAGTGTCAGAATATATTCTACTACGGTCGACTTCCAATTTAATCAAGTCGACTACTTAGAAAGGTCGACAATCGACTCTAACAGGTTTACATTGAAACAATAATTATGACATAAAATCGTCTTTATGTCCTATAACAACTATATATTGTTGATGTTATGATGTGTAGTAGTGTTTACTAAACATATTACAATATGTATGCAGTAAATATAAAGATATTGTTATTGATAGTGTAAAGCAGAACATGTAAAGCTTTGGTGTTCAAAATAATGCATTGTATAATGTATTCTAATAAAAGGAGAAAAAAATCATAATCTCTAAAAATCATTGTTAAAAAAGAAAAGCGTAAACTATATATATCTAAATTAAACTCGTAAACTATATATATCTAAATTAAAAGCGTAAACTATATATCTAAATTTTATTTTTAAGTTATAATTAGACATTGCTAAAAATATATATGTTTTTAAAGGCTAATACTGTAATGATGTTTTTCGTTCCGTAAATTCATTGCGAAAGTTCGAAAATGTTATGGATTATCACAAATAAATGCAAGCAACACCAATAAAGTGATATTCTTAATAATCAGTGTCTCTTAATAATCGGTGTCCGAATTTTATGAATTTAAGCTGCGACTCAAATTCTATAAATTCAGACTCAGAAATGATATTAATTTAACTTCAAAGTCGTCTTTGACCTTAGGTATTTCAACATAGGTAACCTGATTTTTGCAATATTTTTTATGGAACAATGACCACAGAATAGCCCTGTTCCGGCTATTTTATGGAACAATGACCACAGAATAGCCCTGCTCCGGCTATTTTATGGAACAATGACCACAGAATATCCCTGTTCCGGCTATTTTATGGAACAATGACCACAGAATATCCCTGGTCCGGCTATTTTATGGAACAATGACCACAGAATAGCCCTGCTCCGGCTATTTTCAAAATGTAGTCTGCCAATTTTGTGCTTTCATAATTACTAGAGATGAAGATGATTTCGTTCAGAATAAGACATTTTAATACTTCATTCAATAAATTGAAATTTATACAAAATTTTTAAAATCTTTTGAGAGCAAAAAACTGCCAGACCGAGTTTTGAAGTGGCAAGCTTAAAGGGCTATTTTGTGATTATTGTTAAAAATCAAGCTATCTACAAAGAATGTCTTAAACTGTTTCTTATGACAAAGACGACTAAAAAGTTATCAATCGATTGAATGTCCTATTTTTTTAGATTATATAAACGTTGCTAAGAATTGTCATTTTTAATTCGATTTTGAATTATCTAAATAAAAAATGTTTCACTTTATTTTTCAGGAGATTAAGTTTGAAGATAATAAATTTAATTTCATTTAAAAGTTTCAAAAATGAAATAAAAACATTAAATGTTCTTGTTAGATTGAATTTTCAGTGACTTTTAATAAACGATTCTCATGAGTGCCATTCAAACCTTTTTCTGAAAATTGGTTATATGCTCTCATCTATTGAAAGTCCGGCGTGAATCAATGATGGCACTCACTTATTTAAAGGTCACTTATTAAATGTGTCTTTTTTTGTGTACAGTAGAATGTATGTGATAAGTTTTGCATTTATAAACAAACCTGAAAAACTATTAAACTTATTACTTAAATATCTATTACATATTTTATCAAAGAGTTGTCCATGTTTTGCTATAAAGTAACTGATTACTTACCTCTAACTTAAGTCAAAGTTTGAATCATTAGCATTGTACAGTGATAAGGAGAAAACATTGGAATAGAAAGACGACATTATAGCAATCCTTAAGCGTTTTGCTGTCGTTACAAAGCAAATATTGTTACTAGTAACTTAGCAAAGCGCTATTTAAGTGAAATGGGTCTATTTACACTGTACAATTGCTATATGTTTAATGATCATTGAACAAGTTGTCTTCCTATTTCAGAGTTTTCTGGTTATCACTGTAAAATTACAACATCTGCTTGCAAATGTTTTCAAAAACGTAAGTTTGTTAGTAATATTTAAAAAAACAAAACAACCTTTTTTCCTTCTTAAAGACCTTTCTATGAAGAGAGAACGTTTAGATAATGTTCTGCAGTAAAATATTTGCGTTTTTTATTTGAAATGGAATTGGACCTACAAATTTATTTCTAAATAAAAAAAATATTATATTAAGTATGATCGTGTTGTATTTTAGATAATTTGAAGGAAATATATATGTTAAAATAAATATTCAGTAATTGAGTGAAAATACTAGGTTTATCGAGTATTATGTGGCTTTTTTTGGCGTTAAAGCTTGGAGATAATCCAATATAATAAAGGGCGCTCACACAAACGATGTGCCATAGTTAAGTGCTTGGAAGTCCCGTTCATTTCATTTTTTAAGCTTATTTCTCACATCAAGTATTTTTTATAGATAATAAGAAAGATGATCATTTAATCGCACAGATCTGCCGCTTTAGTGATTGTAAATGTTTGATGGAATAAATTGGACTGACTTCTGGGAGAGCATACCACTGCACTGTGCTGTTCCTTTTGGGTTAATATTTTAATCTAAAAAACTAAAAAAAAATTATTAATTATTTTTCAAATTTTTTGAAAAATATCCATATTTCAGCGAAATTGAAGCTAATAATCATAAGAAAACGCATTCTTTACCACTATCAGTTAACTATTGTGTAGCTAGATATTTTTTGTTTTCATTTATTTAAACCGTTAAGATGGGTTTTACACATTTTTTAAATGTCGTCTTTATTGGAAATTCTTAAAAAATATTCATATTTCAGCGAAAGTGGAGTCATACTGCTTGGAGGTATTGATAATCTAGATCCTTATCTTGCTAAAGTAGAAAAGTATATATGTTTTTTCTGATGGTATTAAACGTACTTCCAGATATACCAACTGCAAGGCAACCCTTTTCCTTCCTGACGTCTCATTCTACCCAAAATAGACTGGTCTCGGAAACCTTGATATTTGATAATTTTTTGGAAAGCCATTGGGTTCTACTTCAGCCATTGGGTTCTACTTAAGCCATTGGGTTCCACTTCAGCCATTGGGTTCTACTTCAGCCATTGGGTTCTACTTCACTTCAGCCATTAGGTTCTACTTCAGTCTTTGGGTTCTACTTCAGCTATTAGGTTCTACTTCAGTCTTTGGGGTTTACAGGGTTCTACTTCAACCATTGGGTTCTACTTCACTTCAGCCATTAGGTTCTACTTCAGTCTTTGGGTTCTACTTCAGCTATTAGGTTCTACTTCAGCCATTGGGTTCTACTTCAGTCTTTGGGTTCTACTTCAGCTATTAGGTTCTACTTCAGCCATTGGGTTCTACTTCAGCCATTGGGTTTTATTTCAGCCATTGGGTTCTACTTCACTTCAGCCATTAGGTTATACTTTAGTCTTTGGGTTCTACTTCAGCCATCGGGTTCTACTTCAGCCATTGGGGTCTACTTTAAAAGTCTGGAAAAAGAGTAAAAAGTAATTGAGCCACAAAATCAGATTTTAAAATCTCTACATCTTTGAAACCTGATGGACAATTCTACATTAAAACTTGGATTATTTGATCTATCAGAATTCATAGTTTGAAATATCTCAGGTCTACGAAATTGGGTTGCAAAGGAGTTAGAAAATCAGAGTTTGCGGAAAAGAATCAATTCCTTAGCAAAAATACAATTATTTATTTCTTAATCCATATATTTAGCAAAAAATGTTCAAAACAAAAATTTTGAGAAATATGAATTTTACAATCTTGACTATTAGCCTAAATATGTTTTTAAGAAACACTGACATGTGGGAAATCCCTTTAAAGGCGTCACATGTACAAAAACCTTTTCAAAATTTCTTTGAATAAATGTCAGACCTATACTTTTATAGGTTACCAGAGAGGAGGAGGGGGGGGGGGGTCTCCGTTCCCAGTTAAATAGGGTTGATACATCAATTTGAACATAAGAAATCATACACCTTAACGAGGCAAAATAAACAAATTTTACAACTTAATTCTAGAAATTAAATTTTAATATTTTTTCATAAATATTAAACAGCTTGCAAACTACTAATGTTTCAAACTGTATTAAAACAATAAACATATAAAAAGTTACCACCATTAGGTTGCGAAATTAGAGGAATATGAAGATTAGAGAATATTCAGTTCCATTTAGCTATCTCTATTTTTATAGGAAGCCATGTTGTGCACTGTATGAAGAGGAAATATGGACTGTCGGTGACTATATAAGGATAAAAACCTGGATAAAGTTGAAATTCTAAATTTGGAAACATTAACTTGGAGAACTGAGCAGGCCCTTCACTGATACAAGCCCGCAATATAGTATAACAATGGAATAACTTGATGATGGTATTGCGGTGTTTGGAGGGATTGGCGTGTTGGACAGCTTAGAGAAGTTTCAGGACAGGGGTTGAAGTCTTAGATCTTTAAATAATTGAATATGCATGGAGAACATTTGTTTCTGTAACTATTACTTGTTAATCCTAAAAAAAGCTGGGGAAGGGGTGTTTATCCGTAAACTTTTTTTTGATTCACACTTCTAATCTAAATTCGACAGTTTTAAAAAATAAATATTAAACAATGTTTTTATGTTCTTACTTGTAGAAAACAAAACGTTTAATTTTTTACATTTTACGACTTTTTTCCATTTTTATATAAAACCTCCCTAGCACGCGAACCTTTAAAGATTAGCAGTCTAGTTTTTGTATCAATGGCGCTGGCCTTGAAAGATTATTTCAACTCCATGCCTTTTTCTAATGGGGGGGGGGGTCCGTTTTATTGAAATAATTGTAATACAGACAAAAATAATAAATAAACAAATTAAGGTTTAGAATTGCCGATTATGTATTTCTGAGTGGTAAATAAGTACATAAATTAATTGCAATTGGAACACCATTGACAGCGTTCTTTTTCTGGGTTCCATCTTTTTGGCGCTCCTTGTTGTCAGCGTTCCTTTATCTTGTTCCATGTTTTTGGAATAGTTCCTTGGTGAACTGAATATAAGCTTTCATACCTTCAACTCGGGTCATTCCCTATAAAACATCATGTTAGGTAATTTCTCAAAGGCTTTTTCACAAGTGGCAACTTCCCAAGGGTATTTTCCCAAGTGGCAACTTCCCAAGGGTATTTTCCCAAGTGGCAACTTCCTAAGGGTATTTTCCCAAGTGGCAACTTCCCAAGGGTATTTTCCCAAGTGGCAACTTCCTAAGGGTATTTTCCCAAGTGAAAACTTCCCAAGTGTATTTTCCCATGTGGCGACTTCCCAATTCTGTGCCATTTTATAAGCGGCAACTTCCCAAGTCTTTCCAAGCCACAGCGCTCGGATTGCTTGTCCCCTATTTCAGTCTATGGGGTCTCAGAAGGTCTTTGAAAATTGTTGCCGTTTAAGAAATTTAACTTGTGGGGAGTTTCCACGGGAAATTGTCACTTGGCAAGTCATCCTTCTTCTGGGAAAATATTTAATAAAATTTTTCTCAGTTTGAGATATAGTTTTGTAATTTCATTTAACACTCCATTTGATGTATAAATATTTCATGCCCAATGTGTTTTTATATTGGTTACATAGTAGATACTCAGGATGCACTCCAATGTACTATAGACGTGTCGTCTTCATAGAAATGGACACTCTAACTCCTAATATGAGGAAAATGAATATTTATGGTAGTTGAAGTGACAACATTGTCAGCTGTAAAAAGCGGAGAAAAGCCTTTTCTCTCTCACCTCTCTCACCAGCAAAATTGTCAGTTGAGAATCTGAGAATATTTTTTCCTTTTTAGGAAATTTCTTGAATGCTAAGATATTTGGGATTCGGGGAATTTCCTATATACCTATATTCTTCAAAAATATAATTGCGGTCGGCCGGGTCATGCTAGAAATATCTAATTCTTCATTGAGGTATAGGAGGTTGTGTGTGTGTGTGTTGGGGGGGGGGGGGGTAACATTACCTTTTTAGATGCCCAAGCATCCCATTTAATTTTTCCTTTGATGTCCAGCATACCAGGCCTACTGGTGTTCACATCCCCTACTGAACCCTACAATACAACCAAATAATGGGATTATGAATTAGAGAGAGAAAAAATTTAACAAAATTGATTTTTTTCGTTTTTGTGAACTTTTCTTTTCAAAATTTTCTATGGTGAAATTAATTGCAATGACTATAATCAATCAGCAATTCTTCTCCTCTATGAATAAAATCTGATCAAAAATCATGCCGAAAAATTCAAAAACAATTGTTTGAAATAAAGTTACTCGCTTGTGTTTTTTGTGATGTTTTTCGTAATGTTTTGAACAAGGTTATGGAAACAACATGGAATACTGAAGCTGTTGCTTGCAATTTCAAAGGGAACATTAAAGTTAAAAGTCAGAGCTGTACTTTTTGGGATAAAAATTTTTTGAATTAAATTTTGTAAAGATAAATATTAAATGAGCCTAAAATAAGCAGAAGAATTATAATCAAAAAGCTTAAAATAATTAGGCGCTGATTTATTTATAAAATCAATTGATCAAAACACTATCCGTGGCATTTGACGTAATTCGTAAACAAGAATAAAAAATGACCTAACAAAATGCTGTCATTGTGTCTGTTTAACTTTCCTAATTTGTTTAGAATATTTTCTTAATTGTTAAAATAACAAGGATGGTTATCTTGTCAATTGATAAGAAAATTATTTTAGCTTTATAGCAAACATCATGTATTAAGTAATATTTGAAAGCTAGCTTAGAAACCCAGGTCTGTAATATATATTTAACAAACTCAGTTTAGAATTCGTAAACAAATAGGAGAAATTTTACGAGTAATTTATTGATAAAGGATTTTTACATTTTTAAAAATAAATATTCAATAATAACCTGCTTAAAGAGTGCATATAGTTCCTTTAACTCATCATTACTCAAGGTTTTATTAATCTAATACAAATTCCGTTTAAGATTTATGAATAACTTTTTTTTTCAGAATATTAAGCATATTTTAAGCCAAACGTAGTTTAGGAATTAGAATTTTTATCTTGACAAATAAAACATGAAGTAATAAAGTATGAATGGTTGACAAATGATTGAGGCCGAATTTTAAGACTTTTAGCCGCGGCCTAAAATTAAGCTACGGCTCAAATACGGTTGGTTCCACTTAAAATCGTATTCATTGTTTCAAGATTTAAGCCGGCGCTCAATTAAAACCGGTTTTTTGGTGGATTTAAGACGCAGCTAAAATTCATTAAATTCGGACACTGAATTCATTTTCAAGTAGTTTTTAAAAAATTTAAATTTTAAGGTCGTCGTTTTTAAAGTTTGGAACTTCCCTTTGACCTAATTTATTGAATTTAAGCTACGTCAATGAACTACCTAATAACAGTTCAATTTTGAACCACCGAGTCAAATTTAGAGATTTTTCTAATTAAGAGAGTTTTTTATGAAACCTACCCGTCTTGGCCTTTTGGTATATACGTACTAACCTTCTATGCAATAAAAAATAGCAACATTTGAATGATATCAATAAGTTTCAAAGATACTTGTTTTAATATTGAGAAGTAACTGGTCTAGGGGCACCAAATACCACCTCCCCCCTTCACCCTAATACCCTTTAGGGTTCAGTTTATTTATAAGTTTCAAATCTAGTTTTAGTCAATCTCTAAAAAGAGTTGGATTAAAAGTGAATCTGTGTGACATTAAACGATTTTCCTTTTCATTAATTTCCGCAGCTGCCTCTTCAAAAGCTAAAAATATATTTTTTAAATACAAATTCTACGTAACTAAGTAGGCTTCGATGTAAAAAAGTTGAGATTATTTTCAATAAATTACAGTGATAACCAGAAAACTCTGAAATAGCTGTAAATGACTTTATAGAACTACTTAAGTGTATTTGATGTTGGTATTAAGTAACAAGTTTTACTGTACAGTTAAATCACTAATTCAGAAAATTGGATCTGTTTACACTGCCCAATTGCGAAGTCTTATGCTAAGCGGACATAACCTAAACAAAACTTGAGTCTAAAAGTCGTTTTTCCTATTTTAGAGTATTCAGGTTATGCATGAATATACTTGTAAGCTGAAAACTTTGGTATGATTGTCGTTGCGTCGATGACTTGTCTTAATTAAGTTAAATGTCAATGAAGATTTTAATTGTTATAACTGATAAATAAATTAAAGTCATTTCAAATAACAAAATCTTTATGAACATTTATAAAAAGAAGACAACAATCAATTTACTTTTCTTTTGGTTACATGTCTCTTCCTTACAGTAAGGAAAAGAAAACTCTGGAATATAAAAACGAATTTCAGAATTAAGTTGTTTATCTAATGAACATAAGACACAGCAATTGTGGAGTGTAAACAAGCATTTAATTAGTGATTTTATAAGTATCTAGTGAAGCTATTTGTTACAACATCAAATGCAATTTCATGTCGTCTTCCTATTCCACAATTTTCTGGTAATACTGTATGTTACTGTACACTATGTAGAGTTTGAATGGAAAGTGTTTAATTTAAATTTCTTTTAGTTTTTAGTCGTAATTTTAAGTGAAAAATAATTTAAAGAGGGGCATCTCAGCATGCACCATTCACAACGGAACCTTTAAGAGAAAGTTTTTCTATCTTGAAAAATGCTTAATTCTGATAATTCCTGAACTCTTCTCCTGCAGGATTAATGTACAAATCACATTTATAAAGAAACCACAAGTTTTTAAATCTATAAACATGAATATTTGATTCATTATTCATCATTATTGATTAGGTACTGTTGTGAATCAGACATTCCACTCTCACAATACTTGTTGGTGGATTTCTTCCATGATAAAGAAGACGATATTTAAGTAATTATATTTTTATACCTGGAGTCCATTCTTGAATTTCTGCGTCCGTCATGTTTATCTTAGTCAATGGATTTAAGCAGATTGATACTCTCTCAAATATTCTTATCTTTCCAATTCTTCTCAAATTGATAAACGAATCATGTTTAAAATGAGGCCATCTTGTCCTTTTTCTTTGAATAAATTTTCCCCTTTAGACAGAGTAAACATGAGAATATTTTAACCATCATCCCTGCAGGGGTACACTTGAAAACTAGGTGGTGGGGTGAGGGACCCAAGCCCAACCTCCCTTCTTAATCCGTAGTTTTAAAGATAATACAACAAATAATACATTTTTGGAAAAAAGGATTGGCAAACAAAATTGCACAAACAAATAAGGAAAACATGGACTTATCTGATAACTCCGTATTTTGTATTTCTGTCACTTTTTTATTAATTTTTTAGCTTAACCAAGTAAAATTTTCCTCAAGATTTTGGTTCAACCCTACAGTTTTAAATTTGCCAAAAAGCATGTCACTTTTGTAAACTAGTTTTGCCATTTTGCAAAGATAAGCAGTAACTTCATACAAAAGTTACATATCATCATTTTGAATTGTTGTACAGTTATATAAAGACCATTTCTATATTAAAACAAAGAAGAAAAAATTGCAATTTTTTGAAATTCGTTTTTTGCAGTGTTTTTTTTTGCACACGTTTTAGATATTTCAATTATTTCACCTCATACATTTTTGAAAAGCATCAAACTAAACTATATATATATATGAAAACTGTAAATATATCTAATATAATTGAATTTTTGTCAACTGTTTTTTTTGCAAGTTTTGCTCTTTTTGTCCCAATTCCAAATAATTCATACACATGACATTATATATATATTTGGAAAGTATCTAGCCTGAATATTTCAAAAATTATTCTATATTGTTAAGTAAAGAAATGTTTAAGCCAATTGTTACAAAAATAATGCAAAGTAAAAGTACAAAAAACGTTGTCAGCGAGGTTTTGGGCTCTTGGTCTTTCAAATAAAAATAGAAAAAAATGTTTTGCATTTGAATTTAGCATTTATTTCCGAGAATTAATAATAGTGCAAAAAAAAACGTTTTTCTTAATAAAATAACAGAGTAAGAATTAAATTTTACAAAATGTGAAACAAATAGAAAATTTAAACTCTGCACTCGATATACTTAGTATTGCTAATAAAGGGAATGTATCAACTGTTTTACAAAGTACAACGTTTAAGATAATACTATTGTTGTAATAGAGCTGGGGGATGATACTTGTATACTGCTAAATGTTGCATCAAAAACTGAAAACGCTTTTTGAATCGCAAAATGTTTATAAAAAAAAAGGTTTTTTAGTTGATCCATATTTAGTAGTTGGTTTATCAACTCTATTTAGTTTAATAATAGTAGTTGGTTTATTAATAGTAGTTGGTTTATTAACAGTAGTTGGTTTATTAACAGTAGTTGGTTTATTAACAGTAGTTGGTTTATTATTAGTAGTTGGTTTATTAATAGAAGTTGGTTTATTAACAGTAGTTGGTTTATTATCAGTAGTTGGTTTATTAACAGTAGTTGGTTTCTTAACAGTAGTTAGTTTATTAACAGTAGTTGGTTTATTAACAGTAGTTGGTTTATTAACAGTAGTTGGTTTATTAACAGTAGTATTGAATTTGGTGAAGTAACCGGATTAAATATATATGTTCAAACTTCTGCGTAAAACAAAAATTTAAGAAGCTACGAGGTCATCAAGAATTTTCTTATTGTCCGTCCCGTTTTTCCCTACCAGTATTGACATTAATCTTGATTTTAATTATTTTGCATAATGTTATCTTTATCTCCAAATTCATTTGTAGAAAAATAAATAAATAAACGTGAATATTTTGACTACACAATTACGTGACTATCTGTATGTTATTATTGTAAACTATACAGTGGGAACCAGGCAAGAGTGAAATAAGAGTCGTCTTCTATCTTTCATGATATCATAAATTGTCTTCAGTAGCTGAACATTTTTACAGATGTGCTCTGAACATTATTAAAACTAAAAGGTTATAACAGGGGTAACTGGTAACCACAAACTGCAGTGGTAACTGGTTAACAGAAACTAAAGTGGTAATTGTAAAGCAGAAACTGCAGTGGTCCCTGGTAACCAGAAATTGCATTGGTAACTGGTAAACAGAAACTGAATTGGTAACTGGTAACCAGAAACTGCAGTGGTACCTGGTAACCATAAACTGCATTGGTAACTGGTAACCAGAAACTGCATTGGTAACTGGTAACCAGAAACTGAATTGGTAACTGGTAACCAGAAACTGCATTGGTAACTGGTAACCAGTGGTACCTGGTAACCAGAAACTGCATCGTTAACTTGTAACCAGAAACTATTGGTAACTGGTAACCAGAAACTGCATTGGTAACTGGTAACCAGAAACTGAATTGATAACTGGTAACCAGAAACTGCAGGGGTACATGGTAACCAGAAACTGCAGGGGTAACTGGTAACCAGAAACTGAATTGATAACTGGTAACCAGAAACTGCAGGGGTACATGGTAACCAGTAACTGCAGTGGTACCTGGTAACCAGAAACTGCATCGTTAACTTGTAACCAGAAACTAAAGTGGTAACTGGTAACCATAAACTGCAGTGGTACCTGGTAAACAGAAACTGCATCGTTAACTTGTAACCAGAAACTAAAGTGGTAACTGGTTACCAGAAACTGCATTTGTAACTGGTTATCAGAAACTGCAGTGGTAACTTAAGTTTTAAAGCCTTGCAATGTTTTTCTTTACTCCTTTGACTACTATTAACTTTACGAAAACCAAAGATAAATTGTAAGTCCAGGGTCCAATTCTAACGTACTGGATAAGACCCCAGTCATAAAATTACATCAAACTTGTCTATGATATATCCCAAGGATGTAATGCAAGGAAAGTTATTTCCGAAGTGTACACATCTTTTGTACTGCCGTGTACTGTCTCTAGGCGCTAATGTAAACACAAGAAGGATGTCGAAGCCTGACATGGGATCCATCTTTCACATAAAAAAAAACAATGAAATATTCTGGTTATAGGAAACTATTATGTGAATTATCAAAATTATCAAGATTTGATGCTTTTATCCTCCTCGGATACTAAACGAACACATCTATTCTTGTTTAAAAATACCGCCCAGAGAGAACTGGTTTCAATATGTACGCAGAGCATACGCGACAGCAATTAACTTTCCTTGCATTACAACCTTGATATATACATTCTATTATATAAACATTGTCAAAACCACTGTCTTGTCCATCGTAATTACACGTTTCGTTACTCCATCCCGATATCTCCTGATGTCTCCATCCAGACAAACTTTAACGTACTTTCAAACATAGCTCTAATTTGTATATTTTATTTTTCACCTCGATTTAGCTTGATGATGACCAAATATAATTTTAAAACAAATAAACAATTTAAATAGTGTGTTTAAGATATGTAAGAACATATTCTATATAAATACTGTAAACACTGTATCTCTTGCGCATTAGTTCTGAGAAGACTGTTCAGACAAAACACGGAGCATTAAAGGGACTTTTCATATATTTGGGTAATATAAGAGCTACATACGTCTGAAGGGACGTAATTTCAAGTCAATCTCTATTTGAAGAGAGGCTTATACAATTTACAATGGTGCCTTTTAAAGCTCCATCTGAGTTAGCATGAGAAAGATATCTTCATTGTTCTATCTTAAAACATGTGAAAGTCTGGCGTATATCTCTATTATAAAACAAGACATTTGCATATATATATATATATATATATATATATATATACCCCCCCCCCGCTATCCTTAAAAAAGCAATGTTTAAGAGCATAATTTTCCTCTCTTATGCTCAAATTATTTTATATTATAAAATGATTGTAAGATAGTTCTGGCGTGAATATGTTCCAAATGGGAGGATCAGCTGCATTTTATCAAGTACCAAGGTAGATAAAAATATCTTCTAAATCCAATGATTTTGATAATTAAAAGATGTAAACTTTGTAAATAGTTTAGATTACATTTTTATTGTTATGCACTGTACAATGCACGCTGTTTACGTACAGTGCAGATTAATTTAAATGCCTGTTCACTGTACATTTATAAAATGGTGTAAACTATCAAGTTTATGTACAATATACACAGTACCGAAATATACTGTGTACAATTTGTAATCGTTAGTGTTAGTTTAGTATTCGTGGAGGATAAAAGCATTAAATTTTGATAATTCACATAATAGTTTCCTATGTCCAAAATATTTTATTGATTTTTTTATGTGAAAGATGGATCCCATGTCAGGATGTGACATTCATCATTTGTTTACATTACCGCCCAGAGACAGTACACTGCAGTACACAAGATGCGTACACCTTTAAAATAACTTTCCTTGCATTATAACCTTGGTACACTTTAGCTTTAAAAGCCTAATATTGTTTAAGTTTTAGAAGATTATGTGAGGAGGGTATGTACTGCACTTGTGTCCGACACTGTAGAGGACGAAAATAGAAATTAATATATGTTTAAACTTTTATTGTAAGATTTTGTAAAATAAATTATTTTAATATTTTTCATTATGCGATTGAGAAATGATAGGTTTAATTAAATATTTTCGAAAGTGTAATAATTTTGTCTGAATTATGATTAACAGAATGAGAGATATATCTTACAAATTTTAAATCCATTACAATACGTCCATCACGTTGAATAAAATTGAAGCAATTTAATAAACTATAAAAGGCGGCTTTTAGGGTGCTTCGGACCCCATTTCCTGTAAATATGTTTAGCTCTTAACTGTTGCTCTGAAAGTCGGACGTTTAAAATCATTTACAAATTTTGGCGGATTTTTCTTTTTGATTCAAAAAAAAAGAAATTTCCAAAAATTTTATTCTTCCAATTTTGACGTTCCATAAACTTTTTCTGGGGTTATGTAAGGACCCGATCGGTTTAGCGACAGACAAACATGAGGACAAGCAAAGTTATATTGGGTAGATTGATAAACAAACCAATCAAACCGGTCACATCATATTTGATTATCTATATAGCTTTAATTCCAAATAAGCATGCTTAAAAACCAAGTATTTTCTTAAAGCTAATATATGATCCTCATACAATTTTATATGATTCGTTCTTTTAAAATTTTCTGAGTAGCCCCAAAGTCGCAATTTAGAGCTTTTATACATGACACAATCCGATATATGAGATTAAATCAAAATCTATACAAATGTCAAAACCCCAAAAACAAAACTTGGGAATTTAAATTTCGGGCTCTGATCGAGTCTCCTTTCTGGGGTTTACACATTTTTGATTTTAATTTAAGAAAACAGAAAAAAGGAGAATGTAAAACCACATGAAATAATATAACAAAATATTGCTTTCTACGTATGTTGAGCTCAAAGGGGGGGGGGGTCTCGAAATGTGGCAGTAAGAACAAGGCAGAGTGGCTTCCCGGGGAAAGGAGGGATATTTATTTCCCAAACAACGGTCCTGGCCAACTTAAGTTCTCAGGTTGGCAATAGAAGGTTGGCAATTGTTTATAGACTTCCCACGAAATCCTCCTCTAATCTATAGACCTTACAAAACTCGCCCCATTCATGAAACCAGCTTTCCGTTTCAAACTTTGAATACGACACTCTTATTTTACATTTCGGGCTTTGTCAGTACTCTCAATTAGGGTTTTCAGCGAAAAGGATAAGTGGTTTCACGAAAAATTAGAATCTTGCGCAAAAAAAAATTTTTTTTGGACGAAATTTCGCTTTTATTTGCTTAGTGAATGTATGGGATATTTTCGCGAAAAAAAGTGTTCACATAAAATGTCACATTTTTTCGCATTTCGTTCGCTCGAGCAAAATGCGAAAATTTTCGCTTTTTTGGAAAAATTTCGCTTTATAATCTGAATGGTGAATATTTTCGCGATAAAAAAACAAATGTAAATAAAATAAATAAAATTTCTAATGCTGAGATCTTAAAGCAGAGAATTCGACAAGTTTTTTTGTGCAGTTTATTGTTGCAGCTACAACACTTATGATTTTCGCGGAATATTTTTTCCGCGAAATTATTTAAGCCAAAAATTGCGAAAAAGTTTGTGAAATGTGAAAAAAAAGTTTCGCATTATTTACGATAAATAATATTTATTTTTCATAACAAAAAATATTTTGTGCTCGTGCTAAATTTATTTTTAATCTCTAGTCTTTACAATTATAATACATTTTAAATACAAAGTTTAAGTTTTAAAAAAATCTTCGCAATTTGGAATAAAAATAGTATTTATTTTACTTTAAATAATTAGAAAAATATAGCAGTTTGATCGAATAAATAATTTCAGTGGTTCCCAGATAATACGTTGCTTTAAAAGTTTTATAGAAGAAAATATAACATATTTATAACTTGCTGACTCTATTAATTTTTGCGTTTCATTCAATACTATCTAACGATTATTTTTGGTGTCTAATGTGTTGCAGTCTAATTTAAGATTGTACATTTAGTTGTAATTTTCATAAGTTTACATAATTGCCAATTGTGTCACATGTTTTAAAGGCATATAAAATACATAAAACAAATCAAATCAAATCATGTTAGGGAGCCCTATAATCTCCCCTTCATACTCGAAATGAATTTATTAGTTCAAGAATATAGTGAGGCCATAGCTTGTATTCTACCACATTAACAACGAAAGTAAAATGTTTTCTTTAAATTAATGATTCTTATCCTAACCATTTAAAGTTCAAAAAATTAAAATTTATTATAATTCTACAATTGCATTTCTAATAAAGTCATAAGAAAGAAAGCATTTGGATGTTAAAAGTCCCTAAAATATAAAAAGCATTTGGGAAAAATTATCAAAACTCTTTTTTCGCTTAAGAATTCATCTGAAAAATAGAAACTAAAGCCTTAAAATTTTGGAAAAATCTTGACTTAATTTATTTTCAGACAGTTTTTCAGTGCACAATGCTGACTTTTCTGCAGGACTTATTGTGACTTCATTGAATAGAAAACTACGGACCCCGGAACTGTTTACAAATATCATTAAATGGAACACAATTCTCAATATTGGACCCCAAAATGCAACTTGATCGAACTGTGTTTTTGTGCATGATGGTATCCACAGATTTTGATTTTTGATTTATTTTGTAAAAGATATTTAATCTTCTTTCTCGTTTTCAGCTTTGATTATAGTTACAACAGTAGCAAGTAGATTAGTCCAACCAACGGACATTTCCTAAAAGATAGATAGATAGATAGATATAGAAATATGTAGATAAAGAGATTCTACATGGAAAAGACTACAGAGACGGCTGTAGTTATTTTATGCTATCTGAGCTGAAAACTTTAGAATGGATAAACTTTAATACTGACTTCTTGATCCGAATATCCACTGTGGAAACTTTTCATTTTAGTCCTTAATCCACTCTTTTTCTCTCTCCTTGGATATCCGTTAATTGTTTTCTCCAATGAGAATATTTCTGTTCTCTCATTGGTTGCCCGCTTTTCTCTGATTGGCTGCTACAGTTTCTCAGATGATTAAATATTAATTTGAATTTTATCGTTTTTCATACACTTTTAAGGTAATCTTGCAAGATTATGTTAATTTGGAGATTAAGAAAAAGAGTGGATTAAGCCTTAATCCCGATATCCACCATTCAAAAGTTCCCAGCTCTGTTTCTTTCTGTTTCATTATATTAATGATTTCCTGCAAATGTAAACTCGTTTTTTCTTTGCCAAATCATTAACCCTATTCCTTACCCGGGGGTTGACCACCACAGAAGTTTTTTTTTTACATAACTCAAAAAGTATTGGTCTGAGGCTGTTGAAATTTTCTGACTTTTCCTAAATACCCATGAGCCCTCTATTTAGATCTAAAACCGTGTGCCTGAGTCATAAGGCACACTGCCTGAATGACGACTTTTCCTGTAACAAACTAAATCTTAGTTTTGACCCACCTTCAGATGTCAGATTTAGATAAATTTTAGCTTTTTGGAAAGCCTATGACATAAGGAAAAGCTTTGTTTTGCAAAGAAATTTTGCAAATAATTTGCATACAACTCGTCAAAAGGAATTTCCACATTTTTAGTTTTTCTTAATTACACATCAGGTTATTTAAAATTTGGCAAATATTTTTGCCTATTTAAAATGGCATGGTTAAGGTCACTTTAAAAAATGTCTAAACTCCTTTAAAGATTTAATTTTTTCCCGATTAAAAAAAGATTTATATTTAGTTGTGCCACTCTGATTTCTGTATTTGTTACCTCGGTGAATGCATCTTTCAGACCAAGCTTGAGATAGGCTAGTACAACCTCTCCTATCTTCTTAAACTCTTCCTCTTTTATTCCTCGACCTTTTTAATATAAAAATAATACTGATTATGAAGATATAATAATAAAAGTAGTGCTGATACTTATAAAAATAATGACATTAAATCGATGATAATGATAAAAAGAAAATTTATAAAAAATAGTTACTAGAACTACAGTGTATTATAATTAGAAGATATGACTAAGACGACTTTTCATATTGTTGTTGCAATTCAAACCTGAATGATTTCTGCCTGTTTTCTGAACAGATGCCACCACTAGGTCAATATCATCCAGATTCGAAACCCAAAAGTTCAATGTAGACATTACAAGTCCAGCATGGGCCCTGGAATTTAGTTAGCTACAGGGTGTGTCCCACGAAACATGACAGTAGCAAGACTGGTAATACTGACAGAACAAAAAAGTCAGATCTCATTTTAGAAATGCCAGGGCTATAGTTTCAAGAATTATATATGTTTAAATAGGTTGATGACTTAGCGTGGCGAATAAATTCCAAACTCAAAGACGACTTTTAAGTCGTCTTGCTACTATCATATTTCGTGGGACACCCTGTATTTGTTTCCAATCTATTTTCATTACAAGCCAAGCATGGACCCTGGAATTTAGTTAGCTATTTCTTACAATCTTTTCGTATTACAAGACCAGCATGGGCCCTGGAATATAGTTAGCTATGTTTTACAATCTTTTCGTATTACAAGACCAGCATGGGCCCTGGAATTTAGTTAGCTACTTTTTACAATCTTTTCGTATTACAAGACCAGCATGGACCCTGGAATTTAGTTAGCTATTTTTTACAATCTGTTCGTATTACAAGACCAGCATGGGCCCTGGAATTTAGTTAGCTATTTTTTACAATTTTTCGTATTACAAGACCAGCATGGACCCTGGAATTTAGTTAGCAATTTTTTACAATCTTTTCGTATTACAAAACCAGCCATGGGTCCTGGAATTTAGTTCGCTATTTGTTTACAGTCTATTTTCATTAGAATTCATAGACAAAGATATAAACTCAACCAACTCATCTCCCGAAACCTTGATTCCAAGAGGAAGTGGGATTCCTACAGTTCATATACTGCAGGGTAAGCAAGAGTTTGTTTTAAACTTTGATTTTGGCAAATATTTAGATCATATATTTAGTAAACATTTTGCTGGTGTACATATATCTTTAAAATATAAATATTCATTTTGAAAAACAATTATATTATTTTGTCTTGAGAACATATTCACGGTTTTACTATTTTTAAGGTTAATTTTGTGAAAGAAAATGGAAAAAATAAAAGAAATCATTTTCTTTTTTTTGGCAGTTTCGTGTTTACATTGAATTGACTTCTATTTTGTAAAAAATTTGCAATCTCGACTGGATGTCATGCAATCTCGGCTAGATAACATACAATCTTGACTGGATAACATACAATCTTGACTAGATAACATGCAATCTCGACTGGATAACATACAATCTCGACTGGATAACATACAATCTCGACTTAATAGCATACAATCTCGTCTGAAAAACATACAATCTCGACTGGATAACATACCATCTTGACTAGATAACATACAATCTCGTCTTAATAACATGCAATCTTGGGAGGACAAGGGCGTATACAGAAATAAATCTAGGGGGGCAAGATTTGCGCGAAGCGCAAAATTTTTTTTTGCCCCCCCCTAGGAGCTCCTAGGGGGGGGGCAAAATTCGAACTGTAAATTCATAACACTTGGCTTCTTGGATATCAGGCATAAGTATAAGATACTTAAAAGGCACACATACAGTCTAAATAATAACCTTCTAAGCACTACTTTATCTCTCCTTCAAACAAAACTAGCAGAAAAAAACATTGTTTCTAAAAAATCGACATTTTATTATACTTTTATGGGTATATTTAGTATTTAAACTAGAGATAGTAAAAGACATTTTTGAAAATAAAAACAACTTAAACTTAAATTCTATGAGATGAAAAGAAGTACAAAGGTCCAGAAAATAATTATGACTTATAAAAGTTTCTGTTGTGAAAAAAAAGTAGGAGTACAATTGCTGCAATCTATTTAAAAGTTCTTCATTCATTTATATGTTTGCTAGTATGGCTGGCCAAATAGCGGAATCAAATGGGCTGAATTTTAGTGAGGAAACTCATGGTTACCCTTGGGGATAACATGAGCTAAATAAATTATAATTTTTTTGTTTTAATTAGATTTTTAAAATTCCACAGGCAACGCCGGGCACTTCAGTTAGTTTGAAATACAAATTGGGGGTGCAATGAAAAAAGTAAATTCAATCCAAATTAAAAAGACAAAAAATGATCTTTTACTACCTCCAAACTCAAGCCTTCGCGGCTTTGCATCACTACTAAACAAGACTAGCATATAATGTAAAGTGTGTGAGCTGTACAAATGTATGCAGACTGTGTGTTCTCTGAACCCAACTAAACTCTGTGTACTCTGTGAACTTAAAAGTTAAAATTAGGTTAGGTTGGTTAGGTTAACTTGGTTACAGCATGAGCACTGCACTGTAATTATATATATTTTAAAATTTGGATTTTTTATAATAATCATGAAAAGCAAACTTATTTTTTTGTGTTCTTCACTCTTCAGTTAAGATTTGAAAAGTGTGAAAGGCTTGCAGAATTCTAGGGGGGGCTACGCCCCCCCCCTTTACAAGTCTAGGGGGGGCACTGCCCCCCATGCCCCCCCCCTGTATACGCCCTTGTGGGAGGATAACATAAAATCTCGACAGGATAACTAACAATCTCGACTGAATAACATACACTCTTGATTGGATAACATACACTCTTGATTGGATAACATACAATCTCGACTAATGAGTGGATGCAAATTTTAATTTAAAATATTAGACAACATTAAATTGTGCCTTATTTGTTCCCAACGCGTTACAATAAATCAAAAATTTTAACCGAAATCATTTTAATCATTAACACGATTACATCTTTCATAAATATTATTTTGTTACAATTGAAATCTTGAGGAGAATAAGCTCGGATCATCAGATTAAAAAAATGTTTAGGATGGATCTTTAGGTTTATCCTAGATTAATTTTGGCGCGGTTTAGGCAGGCAGCCATGAGCCACCATTATTTTTCCTTCTGTGCCACATATTAGCTTTTCTCTCTTCCGGCAGCCATGAGCCACCACTATTTCCCCTTCCGGGGCACACATTTGACTCTTCCGGGCAAAACTACTTTTTTAAATTGTATATACAGGGCCTTTAAAGTGTGATTTCCAAAAATCCAGCCGCGTCACGCAAAAAAAGCACAACACAAACCATTTTTCAATGTTACATATGATTAATATATTGTTATAAAAAAAGAGGTCGTTTGTTTTATATTTTAGCAGGTAAACTAGGTCATTTTCGTATTGTGGGAGCAGAGAAAAGTTGTTTAGAGTAGTCTATAAGAAAATATTATAAAAATCACAATATTAACTGTCATTACCTGTGCGTTACAGATTTTATAAAAAAAACTTTTTTATCCATTTTCTCTTAACACTGCACATTTCACATAACACATAACACACTAGGGTACCCTTTAAACTAAAGTAAATTTTATGGTGCATCATTTTAATATTCATATTGCTCTAAAAAATATGGCAATGTTTTGAAAATTAGAATTTTGATTTGCAAAAAAAGTTTTTCAGTTTACATTGAAAGGAATCATCCTTTTTTCATATTAACACTTTAATATAAAGACTTAAATATATGTTTTTGCGTGATGAGGCTGGATTTTTGAAATTCACACTTTAAAAGCCCTAATTATACCATTGTAAAAAGTTGTTTTGCCCGGAAGAGTCAAATGTGGTGGCCCAGAAGGGGAAATGGTGGTGGTTCATGGCTGCCGGAAGAGAAAAAAGCTAATTTGTGGCACAGAATGGGAAAAGTGGTGGCTCATGGCCGCATTCAGCCATTCCCCGCTCGTTTTGGTTCGGAAAAGTGCACATATCAATACAATGATCTGAGAGATAGAAAAATATTTTCCCCCTAAAATGTAAACAAAACAGAAAAAAAAAATAAACAAAGGAAAATAACTTGTTTTTAAAAAAACGTACACAAACAACCCTAATCTTTCTAAAATTGTACAGTTTTGCCCAGCTTGGCTGCTGTACTCAGTACACTGAACCTTTCTCAATATATACTGTACTGCACTGTGTTACCCAGACCTGGGCCCTGGAATTTAGTTAAGTTTTACATCCTATTCTCATTGCAAGGTCAGCATGGGCCCTGGAATTTAGTTAACTATTTGCTTAAAATTTATTTTCATTTAATGCCAGACATGGGCCCTGGAATTTAGTTTATAGCTATTTGTCTTCAGTTTACAAAACATTTTGGTGTTTAAGCCAGCGCACAAGAGAAGTAGTTCTATCTATTTAGCTCAACTTCTTCTCTCTATCCATTCAATTTTGTCAAGCAATATCCAAGGTTTAATATTCAAAAATAATTTCTTAATTTTACCTGAATTTTGGTGTATCCTTAAGCTCAGCGAATGGCATGGTGCCAAGGTGTCCAAAAAATTGTTCCCTCCAGTCTGGATAAGTCTTGAACAGGAGCTCGAAGAATCCTATTCCATGCTCTCTAAACAGATGAGGCAGAGTCAGACTAATTTAGTCTTTCAAATATTATTGCATTTAAAAAAAAAGTATTTGCGCAGGGTGTCTTAATAATCATGGACATACATGCAGTACTTGCTTCAAGTTAACTGTCGGTAAAAACAATATTGCTTTTTTGATTGAAAATTACTTGTTCCACTTAAAAATCTGCAGTTTAGATTTTACACCCAAAAGAGTTAAAAGAAAGTTTTTCTTGTTGCATAGAGCAAGTTTTTAACTTTTGCTAATGCATTGATCTTTTTAAAATGAATTTGTGTTTTAAAATCTATGTTTTGCAAGGGTATAATGAGATAAAATAAAATGCGTTTTTGTCTAATGTGAACTTAATTTGATCTATACCTAAGCTTAGCTGCTGACTTTGCAATATCCCAGCTTTTCTGGACTTCGTCAATATCAGATTGTTCCAGACCCATCCTAAACAGAGAAAAAGAAACTTAAAATATATCTTTTTTTTGTATTTGAAGGTTTTTGATTTTCTCTGTCTGTAACATTTTCATCCTGACTCTTGACTTTTCTCCCTCTTATTTTTAATAGATAATACTGACTTTAATACAGTTCAAAATATCTATAAATGATAAAGGTGTAGACTTGAGTCTTCGGTCATGTATATTAATAAAATACATTGTTCGCTATAATATTTGTAGCGGTGGCAAAACGGCTGGACCCAATTGGCAAATTTTTTTTTGAGGATACCCGAGGTACTTCAAGTGTGATATATCACATAACCTAACAAATTTGGGATTTTTTTAGAACTTTTCTTAAAACCTTGGCAATGCCGGGTACTCTGGCTAATGTGGTAGTAAAAACCTAAACTTTTGTACTTATTTCATCAAAAATTTTGTAAATTTTTAATTTAGGGTTAATTCTTTTTAAAAAAAGAGCTTTTTAAATCCTACGGATGAAGCTTTTTTAGAAATATATTTCAATAATTGGATTTCAATATATTGTTTCTCTGTAGCTGTATAAATAGTAAAGCCCTTGAAAAAAGAAAGCAGATTGCATATATTATGCAAAGAAATGTTGCATAACTTTTTGCACAAAGTATCTAGAGTCAATTTGCACAACTTCCTTGATTATGCATAAACTTATTAGAAAAAATTTGCATGCTTACAATGCATTTCAGAAATGTATAATTTTCATGTTTTGTAGAATTTTTCACTACCTGGGTTTTGCAACGCCTTTTCGAATATTTTACAAAGGGTGGCTAAGAAAAAGGGGGGGGGGGCACCATTACAGCCGCCCCTCCCCACCCCCAATTTACATTCTCAACTGGAACCTAATCCAAACCTTCAAAGAAGCTGAACAGTTGCAAAGAAATAGTAATTTGGAATCAAAAATATTTTCTTCGGTTTAACCTGGGACAGAATGTTATGAATTTGAGCTAGGTACTCACGGTGAACTAGAGGTCTAGTAAGTCCGAACTTTTGAACCCATATTTAAACATTAAATATAGATATTTCGTTTATACTATGTTACACTTTTTTGTTGGGCTATTTATTTTACATTGTTTAGCTATTATTGACGGGTGTTCAATGAGGAATCAAAGTAAAATAATATTCCGATAAAAACATGATGTTTTCTTTGTTGTATAGTTAGTTTACCGTGCGCTGAACTACATACTACCATGGAGTTTACATACATATAGGACATGGATAAATCCTGCATTATACTGTTAAGAGAGATTATTGAATTTACCCCATATTGAACAGATGTATTTAATGCTCCATGGCTAATTTATGAAAATATATGAGAAAAAATGCTTTTGCATTCTTGCAATGCTTCAACATTACTTAACTTAAAGGCTTTCTTTTTTTAGAGGTGGGGGGATCCCACCCCCTCCTATTTTCTGGATTTACACAGGCTTTTTAGAATTTTTTTAATATTCATGTGAATTTTACGTTGCCATTACACTATCATTATTTCACATTTAGTGTGAGTAAAAAACAAGGAATATCGATGTTTTGGACAACATTTTCGTAATTTAGGTATCAAAAAATAAATTGTGAAAAAAATAAATCAAAAAATATTTTTGAAATATTGAAAAAAACCGCGGTTTTTTAGAATTTTTTTTATACTTTTTATTTTTGGGAAAATGTTCATTCTTTTGTTTTCCAATATCTCAAAAAAATTTACTCAAGAATTGAACGAGAAACAACAAAAATGTCAGCCAATTATTTGCAACATGATGATGTACTTTTATTTTATTATTTCAAACTTAGATTATTTGATCGAACAGAATCTATAGTTTGAAATATCTAAGGTCTACGACATAGGGTTGCAAAGATATCAGGGATTAAAGTTCAGAGTTTGTATAAAGAACTCAATTCCTTTGATGATAACACTTACTGCAGACTTCCACTCAAATATTTTGTGGATTTTTAGTAGGCCTAATATTTGAAAATGTGCTCGGTCTCTTTTCTAAATATTTTAAATTCGATCTAACAGGAATTTATAGTTTGAATTTTATTCCTATTGAAGTGATGACAACAAACATGGGTATTGCTTAGGGTCCAATTTCACACATTCAGGTTTTTTAGGCTTTAATCCGAGATGTATTGTTTATCATTTAGCAAAACCAGATTTCTATAAGTTTGCTTGCATCACATTTAGCTAGTTTTTTCTCTGGCCAAAGATGTTAACGAAAAGGAGCAAACCAGGGGGCGGAAACGTCATGTATGTGTGTCTGTACCAAAAGAGTGTGTGTAAGGAATACCGAACCGAAGGTTTGTACTGTAGGTATATATAGTTCATAAGAATCTTGGTATTTATACAGTCTAGGAGAGTACATTTGTTTATTGTTAATTGTTTACTTAAAATAAGTTTAATATACATGTAATATATTATTTACATAATGAAATCAACACTATAAAGCCAAATTGTCATGCAAAGAATATAATTTGATAAAGGTTTACAAAAAACTACTCGTTTTTCACGTTTAATTATAATTGACGACATTGCTCTGCAATTTCCTTTATTTATATATGCATAAGGGTGCTCACTGCTCACAATATCAACTCGATAAATTGTCCAAAATTAATATTAAACATAAACGTGGGAAATCTTAAGAAATGTTCTGTTTGTATAATTTACAGGAATTTAGTCTTATTTGCCACAAACTCTTTTTTCTAATCCGCATATTTTACAATCCAATATCCAACTTCCAAGGCATTGATGGATTAAATAATCTTAGTTTGGAATATCAAAGGTAGTTAAAGAGAGGAACTAGAAAATTGGGATTTTTGACTCAATTCTATAATAATGTGTAAAAAAAGAATCTGAATTTTGAATTCACTTATTTTTTCATAATTTATTAAACAATGCCCTAACAAAAGTTTTTTTAGCAGAACAAAACAGATTTTACGTTCTGCTAAATAATGAATGAATTTTAACTATTTACAACTATCTACTAGACAGGAAAGTTAAGGGAATTTTGCTTTACCAAGGGTTTCCCTGACCAATGTTGCCAACAAAACATCCAGGCGTAGCAAGGGATGATTTGTAGACAAAATTGGGGGAAGAAAACCCGAGGTGAGGTAAAACTTTTAATTTCCCGAAAAAGATCTTTTACTCAATTTTATCGCCTTTTCAGCTGAAAACGAGAAAAATTTTTCAAAAAAACTTCGCAGAGGGGGTGGTTACTTTAACTAATTATTTAACGACCCTTGATTTGGGGATCATAGTTCGGTGATGCTGGTCGAAAAGTTGTAAAAATATTTATTCTTCACCATTTTATTTTCAATGGTCTACTGGTTGAACTCACACACTATAATTGCAGTATGCATTCCAACTTTAACCCTACTTTTCCCGGCCCTGTTTTGGGATAAAGTTCGAGGGGGGGAGGGAAGTGAGGGAAGAGAGGTTGTTTCGCTTCTTAGCGATTTCCCTAAAGACCTAATATATATACCGTGCGGTATTTCTAAAGATAGGATTGTAAGCCTTCCTCTTCTCAACGCTCTCCATAACAAAGGATAATAATAAGGTTCCGAACGTTTATTTCTCCGAGACTTCAATCTAAATAAGTTTAATAAACCCACAGAAAAAGCTTTGAGTGATAAATCATACGAATACAACAAATAAATCAACTCAGGCATTAAAAAACTGTGGCAAGGAACCAACAAAACACATTGATAAATATCAACCATAACATAAACAAACGATATGCATACATATGTATAAGGAATAATTACCGCAGTGATCCTAGAATTCTTAGCACGGTTAATAATAGACAAACTTGTAAGACAAATAAATATATACTAAGATAGAAACTGCCCGCTTCCACGCGAGAAAACTTGCGCCTGCGTAGTCAGCCTGCAAACAGCTTCTAAAACTTGTTTTTCACAATACGTTCTGTACAGATCCGCAGGGAGAACTCAGGAATTCACAGGGGCACCACATAGACTTCATACACGCAGCATGGCTCGCGTAACAGTCGCCCAGCCAGGAACAAACGAAAAAGTTCTATCTGCCCCCC